TGGATGCGATCCCGAGCCGCATACTTCGCCCAACAGGCGCAAGCTAGTGGGAAACGGACGGAACAGACTATGGTCATGGAATTGATCTTTTCGCGTCTCCTTTCTTTGCTTGCCTACCACCCTGATTACCCGTCTGAGGATCTAGACGAAGCAACGAAACTCGGCGACCTTACCGACTTCTCTCAATATATCCTTTTCTACCTCTCCGCAGTTGCCAATGAACACAACATGTCACTGATTTTCCACGTCGGACAGCGCGTCAAGCAGTTCCGCGATGGCATCACCAAATCAGACGAGATCTCCACCCGCCTCCACACTCTGTCTGATCTGGCACAAGCAACTATTCGCCGGTTCGCAGATATCTACTCCCAACAGCACAAGCTTGGCGGTGCCGCCGGTGCAACCAACATCTTACAAACCTATCCTGGGAAGATGGGCGTCCCTAGCTCTCTCTTCACCTCCATGAGCAATCACCGGGAAGCCCAAGACGTCGCCGACAAGAACTTCCTTCCAGACGAGTTGGATGATTTGCTAGATCGCGTCGTCCGAATTGCAATGAAGCCCAGGCATAACTCTACCCACGGTTCACTGGGCGGATCAAGCAAGAAGCGAAAACCAGAGTCTCTAGATACGAACGGCAAACACTCCGTGGCCAAAAAGGCACGCAAGGAAAAGTCTTCTCGTCCCGCCCGCAAGTCCACATCATCGATCAGTGCAGCTGCCAAGCCGAGACGGAAATCAAAGAACGACGACGGCTGGTCTTCCGACGGAGGCGCTGGAGGTGCCATGACCACATCCTCTCGCCGGCGCAGCGTCCGAGGCACCGCGAAAGCGGAAGTCAGCTATATCGATAACGATAGTGATGATGCCGACATGGAGATGACAGAGTGGGATAAACCCAAGGAAAAAGACGATGGCGAAGATGACGCGGAGGAAAGCGAGAACGAAGAAGCCCAAGAAACGGATGACGATAAAGAACTCGCCGACGATGATGAGCCAGAGGTCAGCGAGAAGGAACCCACGCCGCCTCCTGCAAAGAATCGAAGCGGAAAGGCCGCTGCTGCCAAGGGCGATGTCAAGAAGCCTGAGCCAAAGAAGCTATCGACAACCATGCCTTCGCGACGCTCTTCCCGTCGTGGGTAAGAACCTCCAGGACTATATGGGACCTGCCTGGCACGGCCCCCAGCTGTATTCTCATATACGGGCCATGCCTCTCATTTCGCCAAAGACATACACCTTCAATGGCCATTTACTTATGAGTTTTCAGCCAAGATCTTCGAGACATAGACGTCTGGTATCGATCTAATCGCTGTTCTCGGATCTAAATAAGTCGTGCGATTACTGCGCGGATTGTTCCCGTCGATATTCATATTCATATTCATATCCTGATGCCCATATTATCTTCTTTATGGTTTCACAATTTCGTCCCCATCGTGTGCTCTGTTTCCTTGCAGTCGGTGATGGTCCGAGATGTATACCCCATCTGCCTTTTTTTTTTTTCTACTTGAAGTTCTCACGAATGTCTGTCTCTTTGCGTATTCCCGTCAGATATATGCTTTCTCTCTGTAAATGAACTGAACTTTGCTTCACAATTACTTGTTTACATTGTAGTTGAAGAAGCGCGGCTGTGAGGTGGCTCAGTTTGGAAGATTCTTTGAATGCATTGGAGATATTATCGAAGCCGTGCGTAGAAAATGGACGAGTGAGCCTAGTACTAGGCGGTAGTCTCGTACTCATATCCCGTCCAGTCTTACTGTAGTTCTTCCGTGTCCTGCAGAATTGGTTTATAGGAAGCGATGGCTTATAAGTTATAGGGAAGGTAGTTACGAGCCTGCAATGTGACGTAAGAGACCACTCCTAAAGATCATTCCATAGAAAAAAGAACAGAAATATTTACTAAGACTCAAACCGGCTCTCAAACTGCTAACTATTACACACATGGTCCAGCAAAGCAAGAAAAACACAAACGCCCCAGAGATTCCTTGGGCGCCAACAGATGGATAAAGATAGATCGCTTCCGGCACTGAGAAACCAAAAACCTATGCAAGACACGAGTAGAATGGGAGGCTTCGTGAATATGGAGAAGAAGTAGGTGGATTGAATTGATCAAATGTGTAAAAGAATATAAGCGATCTGAAAAAGAATTGCAAGTAATCACACAAGATAATCACACAAGACGCCGTTGTCATCACTTCATGAACAAGATTGACTATGGCTGAGACCCACTGGCTGGAGAGGGAGAGGCTGCAGTCCCGAGAGCTGGACTTGCGTTGGCCGGAATCCTAGGGCTGGCACTCGCACTTCCGCCATCGGAGTTGGTACCACCGCCACCAGTCTTTGTGAGCCGCTCTTCGACCCGCTCCTTGTGCTGCCGGTTGCGCAGATGGACTTCAAAATTGTCCACTGTCATGCCCGGGCCGGGAGTGTAGAGCTTTCCGGGGCAGTCGTGGCAACGAATACGGGGGAGGTATTGGTATTTGATATTTTGGCCAGCCTGGAGGTTGTTGGGATTCGTCACGGGGGCCAGGGTTTCGGTATCAACGGCGGAATAACGCATCACGCCTTCGAAGGAATCGTTGGGGTGAGATTGTTTCAACTTGCTGAGACCAGCTGCCAGCCAGTTGGGTGGTGGGGGCTGCATAGACACAGGGTCAGCCATGGGCCAAAAACTGGGGTTAAAATCTACTCACGCCAGATACACCAGGCTGCGGAGGGTTTGGTGCATCAACAGCACCGGTTTGTTGGGGTCGCGGGGGAGGATGAAGTCGGGACTGTTTATCAGACGGAGGTGCCATCGTGCGTGATGCTTGTCCGCTGGAGACAATGCGCCTCCCGTTTCTCAGATCGACCAGCTTGTCGCGCGAAATCTTGAATCTCACTATCAACTTATCAGAGTCATCCACACTCTCTTCTCGGTATTGCTGTCTTCGGGCCGAGACTCGGGGCTCATGGTACACCGGTTCAGGGGTGGCAGACTGTCCAAGGCTGGCGCGAAGCGCCGCATGGGCTGCAGATGCCGCGCCTCTCATGCCTCTAGTACGAGCAGTGCCCTGTGCGAGGTTGGGTCCAATTGCAGGAGAGTCAACAGAGGAGTCGTCGCTATCAAACTCGTCTGAGTCATCATCGCCCCGGTTTCCAGTCATTCCACGACGGCGACTGGAACCGGTACGCTTGATCACATTGCTTTCATCGAGAGAGCCCACTGAGTTGGGTATTACGGATGAAACAATCATGGTGCGTATCGTGCGTTGGCGGTCCTTGAGATCTGGCAAAGCAGGGCCACCACGACGGTTGATTGACCGTTTCTGACGACGTTGCTCTCGGGATATTGAGATTTCGGTACGTTCAAGATCGGCCTCATTCAACTCATAAAGATAGGGCGTATGCTCTTTGGCGGATTGGTATGGTCGGAAGGCAGAAGCCACAGGAGTGGGGAGGAATGAGGTGTGGAGGTCTGGGTCTTCGATTGGACGGCCATCGAATGGGTGAGCGACAATGTATAAGGATTTGGTGAAAAGTTGGGACTGTTCGCGGATTGAATGGGCGATGGCGGTAGTGAATTCACCAGAGAGCGATAAATCATCCGTCATACATAACGCAAATTCTTCCGGGGAATTATTGGGATCGTTAATATCCCACTCGAACTGGTCGATGAGAGTGTGTTGGCCAATAGTGATGTTGAGTTTGACCGAAATGCGCATCTCGTCGTTTTTGTACGCGGTGTAGGGTAGTTGGGGATCAAGAGGGTCTTCGTGTATGTTAAGATGCGGGTAATAGTCTATCACCTGCTCCTGGATGCTTTGGGAGATCATTCTCGTCAGAGGAACTGAGCTCTCTACCGCAAGACCCATATCTTCCACCAGCTTCTCAGCGAACAAATCCGGAGACACAACACGATCATGAAGGTTCCACGTGAAAGTATCGCGAATCTTGACTTTCTCCCAATCAATATCCAAGCGAATAGGGACCAGATCCTCAATCTGTTCATTCTGCGTCTTTGCGTCACGTCGTGAAATGCGTAGTTCTCGCGTCTTTCTATTTCCGGGACGTCGTCGATGAGTTGGGTAGAGAAGTTGAGGGTGTTGATTGTGAAGGTCGGTACGGGGGTTTCCGAATCCTTCATAGCCCACGCCATACAATGCTGCTGGGTTTAACTGATTTTCGCGTCGCACTGCCAAATAGAAGTCGCGTTCCGCTCGCTTATTCTTTTGTAACTCCTGACTCGGATTTTTCCAGGCAGCTGCGGCCGACTGCTGGAATTCGCGATCAACGTACTGCTCCAGGAGAATCTTATCCAGTGGCGTTTCGCGGGCGCGTACGGCCATGGTTCCGGAGACCTCTGTGGATTGAACAGCAGATCCATCATGAGATCTCTTTCTTACGGAACCATGCGTCCCATTAGAACGGGGCGTGCCATTGGAAACCTCACTGCCAGGTTCCGACGAGGCTGACACCCCGGAAGCAGCAAGCATAGCCTTTGCGCTTTGCTTTCCCTCTGCGATTGTATCTGGCGTATGACCATTTGTTGATCGGCTTGTCCCAAGGTCGATGTTGTCTGAACCTTGTTCGCCCGTGTCCGACGCGCCAGAGCTGTTCTGGACACCCGACTGAGGGTCCCCGAATGATTGCTCTGAGGGCAGTGAGCCACCCGTCACTTCAGGGGATGGCATTTTGGATGGTCTATGAATGCAAAACGAACGTCTAATGCCACTCGTATGATCTTGGAAGCTCGGAGTGGCTCTCAACGCGACAGGGATAGGTTCGGGTCGGCTACCGTAGCATTATGGGATGTAATCTGTCCATGCGATCAAATCGTGATTAGCAGGTGTTTTCAGATAGTAGACTACCCTATCCATCGCCGTCGCGACCGTGCATCCAATGTCACCTGGGCAATGTAGCTTGTTGGATGGACGTGTCGCAACGGGCGCATGTCCCGAACACGCCACAAGTCACCACTTCAGGGTATGCGACGGATTGAATAGGGACAGCATATCGAAATTATGGACTGGGAACCCAAATGGGAAGCAATCGAACATACCAGGGCCGAAGGGGAGAGAGAGCTGTTGCCGATGTTCCTTGAATGGACCAGTCGGGAGTTCCAGCGCAGAATCCGCTCCGGATCGGTTGGGGCCAAGTCAGCTGACCTTCTTCGTCAATCGATTGCGATGATCCCAATCGACGAGTTTCTTTCCCGGAGAGATTCTTCTAAACTGCGGAAGCTGTGGCGGTTGTCTGTTGTTTTAAAGCCGGGGTGATGGTGAAAGAGGCAAAGGAGAAAGAGGGAGAGTACCCGTTACAAGTGTCCGCACCCGTCTAAGATCGTAAAGAAACGCGCCATTCACTCTATATGCCCAACCACCATAAAGTAATTATAAAATAAGGTATAAGACTACTTTTAAGATATTTTGAGGTTATTCCCAATGCTCATCTATGGGCTCCAGACCAGCCTATGACCCTGTTTACCAATTTTACTGACTGTCATGTGATCCACGTGTGTGTTACATAATGTGACCTCGGAAGGTCCTGGACGTCTTGGCATGTTCGTGGTCTGCTATGTACATACATCCTCAAGTCTGAACTGTCAAGTCCACAATAACAGCGCGGTGATCCGAGCTCAAAACACCATCGTCGAACCGATTTGCTAGCACTGCATAGCCAGTGACTGTCGACTTCTGACCGACAGCCCCGTTGGGTCTCACCAGAACATAGTCAATACGTGAGGCTGGCTCATCCTCGTACCCAAATCCAGTCCAAGTAATGTGGTTACCATATCGTTTCGAGCTTTCGATTTGCTCATATGCATCAAGCAAGCTTTTTGTCAACTCTTGGTAAGCTTCCTGGTTATATTCGCTGTTGAAATCGCCGGCCAAGAAAGTGCCCGTGATCTCTGGGAATCTTCTCTGGTTATATTCCGAAATTATTCCGGTAATGATACGTGCAGCCTCGAGGCGAGATTGAGATCCTTGATTATCCAGATGGGTGTTCATGGCAAGTACCACATTCCGACTAACCGGATGACCGAAGACACCAATGGTGACAATGCGGATGGAGGCTGCGTCCCAACTCTTGGATGGCCTTTCCGGTGTCTCGGATAACCACACTGTCTCCCAGTATAGTAACTCCCAAACCGATGGCCTGTAGATGATAGGAGAGTATTCCCCGGCCTTGTCACCATCATCTCTACCAACGCCGATATGAACCCATTTTGGTGCTCCAGGCTCCATGTCCTGATTCAATCCAGCCAGAATATCCTCAAGTTGATTTTGAAGAACTTCTTGCAGGCAGATGAAGGTTTCTTCACAATGACGGGCCTCGTATTCAAATTCATTCAACAGCAATTGCTTGCGTTCTGCCCAGGGTCGTTCGCCTTTGAAGGGAGATGAGGTTGCATATCGGATATTGTGTGTCAAGACCCGGACCGGAAGTTTCATAGAACTCATAGTGTGGAAATCAGAAGAGTAGAGAATCAAACAACCAACAACGGTGTGGGTATATGGATGGCTCTATGTCATGGGTTTACAACAAGTGAGGGGAATGTCGCAATGCCTCAGGTTACTATGCCTGAGGCAAGCTATAGTATAACCACCTTCAGTCACCTCGATGCACCGATATAGGTATGGTATTTATTCATGAAAGTCACTGTGCTTTCTTTTCAGGGGTATTCTACAGTTGGCGGCCAGTAATTCACCCTTCTGGCTACAATACTAGAGAGAAGGGCGGAAATATATCGAAAAGAGAAAAGTAAGTTCCAAATATATATTTCATCTCGAGCTGGACATTCACACCGCCACTGAGCCAATTTGCCTCGGTCTCTGAGAAATAGGCCTCTGCTATCCTACTGGATGGGCTGGGTTGATATACTCGAGTCTTTTAATGTTCGAAATCCATTCAAGTTGCATATTGGCTTCTTCCGATTATAGAATCAGCGCTCGGATAGCAAGGATCGTAGGATTCGAAAGGCAAAAGCCCGAGCACATCGATGTACTTCCTACGAATGTGTGAGGAGAAGTTTGGGGTTGGAGGCTGGAGGTCTGGGCGATCCTGGGTTGTGGCGGAATCCGGGGTATCAGAGGAGACATTTACGGTCTATATAACGAAAGAAACATGGATTCCACCTAGACAAACTGTAGTTACACGTTTTCTTAACGCGAATCAACGTCGCTCAGTATGAAGTCAAGGGAGAGATTTCCATGACGTCTTCGGCAAAGCCCTAGGTCAGAGGCCTGAAACATCAGGCGACCATCACCCAACCCCACCAACGCTAAACGCCTCGACGCTCTGAACACGACTCGATCTCGGTTTATTCCTCTCCTCGAGCTTTACACGGATTACAATCCGAACTCTTTTTGCGAAATCATTTGCATTTACCTGTTTATTACAGCTCCACGAGCCCAATTCACTTCACAATGGCGGAAGACAAAGCACCCGAGGTTGTTGGTATGTAAACTCCATCGCGGTGGAAAGCTCTGACGTTTGTGGGCACTGAGCCCAATATGGGCCATGAGCTCGCTGGCACTCACCGCAACAAAGAAATACGTTCGGCTCATAGACCATGACTAATTATGCAATTCTTTCTAGATTACACCCTCAACAACCCCGATACCTTGACCAAGTACAAGACCGCTGCGCAAATTTCTCACAACGTCCTTGACGCTGTTATCGGTATGTTGCGCAAGAACTTCCTATTGTCTCACATTGTGATCTAATATCTACGTAGCTCTTTGCTTGGAGGGAGAGAAGATCGTCGAGATCTGCCAGAAGGGTGACAAGCTTCTTGAGGAGGAAATCGCCAAGGTCTACAAGGGCAAGAAGATTGTCAAGGGTTAGTCAACCCCACTCTCAACCCCGTTAGTGGCAGACAAACCACATGAACTTACCGTAACATATAAATTTAGGTATCTCTCACCCCACAACTGTCTCTCCTAGCTCCTATGTGACTCCCTACACCCCTCTGGTGTCCGACGCCGCCGAGGCTGAGATTGCCCTGAAGGCCGGCGAGGTTGTCAAGATTCAGCTTGGTGCTCAGATCGATGGATTCGGAACCATCGTTTGCGACACAGTTGTCGTTCCCAAGAAGGACTCCCCCAAGGAGCCTGTAACCGGCCGTGAGGCTGATCTCATTATCGCTACTCACTACGCCAACGAGGTTCTCCTGCGCCTCATGATTCCCCAGGGTCTTTTGGCTCAGGGTACCGACGAGGAGAAGAAGAAGGCCGCGGCTCAGAAGGCCCCTACTCAGGCCTACATGTCTTCTCTGCTCGAGAAGATCGCCAAGACCTACGACTGCAATGTCGTCGAGAACACCACCAGCTGGATGTTCGGCCGCAACGAGATTGAGGGCGATAAGAAGATCATTCTCTCCCCCGGTAACGGTGTCCGCGGTGACGGTGTCCCCGAGGTCGGCGAAGTTTGGGGTGTTGAGGTTGGCCTCAGTCTGGGATCCGGCAAGGTCAAGAACCTCGAGCACCGTCCTACCCTGCACCGCCGTACCACCACCACTTACGGCCTGAAGCGCCCTAGCTCCCGCCAGACTCTGTCTGAGGTTGTCAAGAAGTTCGGTACTTTCCCCTTCAGCTTGCGCCAGCTTGATGACGAGAAGGCCGCCAAGGTTGGTGTTGTTGAGTGTGTTCGTGGCGGTGTCCTGCGCCAGTACGAGCCTGCTGGCGAGACTGACGGTTCCCCCGTCTCTCGTCTGCTGACCACCGTTGGTAAGTACCGTTGAAATTGCGTGAAGATGATTTGGATAAGCTAACCCCACTCACAGCCATCACCAAGAACGGTCTCACCAAGCTCGCCGCTCCCAAGCCCGTCGATCTCGAGCAGATCAAGTCTGACAAGAAGCTTGAGGATGAGGAGATCCTCAAGATTCTCGAGCAGCCCCTTACCCGCTCTACCGGCAACAAGAAGAACAAGAGCAAGAAGAAGACCAAGACCACCGGCGGTGACGAGTAAATATGAGTCAACGCTCTCAACAACCTCCCTTGGTCATCATTTTCATGCAATACACTTGGATATAGTGTAGGACTATTTGTCCAATCTGAATGCAAAAAAGATATCCAATGACGAGCCTCACTGCAGGTCATACGAAATCTATCCAAAAAACAAAAGAGAAATACTTGATTTTTCCAATGACACGCGACAGGGCTGGCAATGCCAACCCACTTTTGGAAACCTCGGTATATACTTTATGGACGAGTTTGGTGCTGGGATATCTTCTTCTTGCGCTTTTCCTCGGAGGCCTGTCTGTCTTGTAGCAATTGGAGCAGACTCCATGGACCAAATCAAGACGTTGCCAGTCTGTACTCGTGTGTACTGTAAATCTATATGAAGACATTCTATTGAGACAGTAGCTATTGTAGTTCTCTATTACTTTCGTATTTCATGCCATGTCGAATCTCAATGTGGAATTTGTTCGAGGCGAAACCAGGTACACGTCACTTCATCGACTACTCGATAAAAGGGCGATGTTAATACCGGTAGGCGAGTCTGCCGTGGCTTTCTTTCGAATTATGGAATGGTAGGACACCTAAGCTACCTATGTAGGTGTTTTCTACTTGCTCGCAATAACAGGGGACCATTCTGCCACAACTTGGCAGTCTGTGTAAAGTCTTGGTGCAGCAATATAATCAGGATCTCTGCCTCATTCCTGTCGACTGCTGAAACTACTGAATCCCTAGAGACCAAACCACGGCTTAGCGTATCTGAAGAGTATATCATATCCTAGGTTCATTTCCTCGTGAGACATGTACCCACCTTCTGTGGTCAATCCAGAGCCTGTCTATTTGCATGGGTGCCTGGCAGATTGTCTACACAGCCTAGGGACAATAGAGAGCCAATGCTTCCATTGGAGTTCTATACACAGGCAAACTCAATAGATCAATATAAAAGCTATTGTTCTCTGTAGGCATCCTGGAAGAATAGGGTATCGAGGTCAAGACGTGACATGACATGTCACCTGGACTGTCTATCCTATTGTTCCTGTGTTCCTGTTTGCGCTCTCAATAGCCCCGACTGAAAAGGAAGGCCCCCAATTCTCGCAGAGTATTTAATCCCTCCCACCTCCCATCTTCTTCTTCCTTTCTTCTCTCTTCTTCCCCACGTTCAATCCATTTCGTTACTTTCATCGTTAAAAATGGATACCGTGCGTGCTACCATGCGACGCGTCTCAAAGCGTCTTCTCAGCAAGAAGAGTAAGTGATATTCCTCAGTCTATCCTAGTCCCCTCCCCTGGTATCCAGTCACGTCTGTGAAGCGGATTTCGCAGTCTCCCACAAGCTGAAAGATCACTTCGTGTCATGCTATGCGCCTCTGTATCATGCTTCCCTATCCCATTACCCCGTCTCGTGCCCCCATGTCTCCATGTCCCTGCTCCCGTTGTGACTGAGATGCAACACCTCATCTGCCTCTCGACCTGCACATTTCTTGACCAAAGATGAGTGGGCTTTCCATGCCATTGCCTCGAGTCATAAATTGTCTTGTCATTGGTCCAGTCACTTCTGAGACGGGGTGCTTGGTTCTGGAGTGGATGAGACAACATACTCTCCCTCCTCACAAGTCTAGCCACTTATGTTATTGAAAACATCATTACCCTTTTCTCAATTTCATGTGAATGACACTTGCTCTGTCTATCTCAATGAGCTGGTCACTGGTCACTTCTGAGATGAGGGAGAACGAGATGTTGTATCTTTCAGGTGAAACTGAGGGATTACCCCACATTTTTTTAAACTCACCTCTAGATGAGAGCAAAAACTAACTTATTCAAATAGGCGAAGCCGACAAGGCATCGAAGGAAAAGAAAGATGCTGCTGCTGCCCAGGACGTTGACCCCAGGAAGTTAGGGCATGGAGCGCGTGGCACTAACCCTACCAGGCCCCTTCCGCCTGCCCCTACGGGGTCCACTCAGTCCGAACGCCGTCAGAGCTCTTCCAAACCCGCGCAACGACGGAAGCTTCAGAAGAAGCCCCCGGGCACTTCGAAGCCCACCACCCAGTATCGGACAATGAAACCGATCGGGGAATACCCATCGCCCGTGGAGTACCGAGCTGCTGGCGTGGCTCCTCCGTCTGAACGGGCCCACAGCGTCGCGACCGTGCCGACCAACGTCCCGCGCGACGAAGCTGAGCGCCTTTCCCTCGTTAGCGGGGTTGAGAGCCCGCCGACTGACAAGGGTCATGTTGAAATCGCCGAAGAAGCGGCACTTGCCTCAACCTCGACTGGGGCCGAGACCGTGGCCGATGAGTCTATTCGCAGCACCACCCCAGCCGATGCGGCCACTCCTACCCTCCCGAGCGCGGACATCACCCACAAGTACCTCGCCGTGCTGATGTCTCTTCCTTTGCGCCTCTCCGACAAATATGATCTTGTCAAACTACGGGGCGTCATGAAGTTCGCCATCATCAGCTCAATCGAGAACGACAACGAGTGGTGTGTCGTTGGCCTTCTTTACTTCTGGTCCAATGCCATGGATGATGAATTCAAACTCTCTTTGATTGCCAACCTCTCCGAAAATGACGGAGGAGACAAACAGTTGCAACTTGCTCTCCAAACGATCCTTAACAATTCTCTGATAGAAGCCCAAAGGTGGTATCAGAAATACGTTCGCTCTACGGCCAATGCAGCCGATATTCCTTCCTGCAGCGAATCAAGTCAGCCAGCTGCCAATTCTGTTGGTGCAGAGCCTAGCTTCAAGGTCTCCGACATCTATCGCGACACAAGTGGTCCTCGGGTTGAAGAAAACTTCCTGAGCGGCAAATCAAATACCGCTCCGCTCAAGAGGCCCAAGAAGCCATGCCGCGTCAACGAGAATGCCTACAAGCGTAAGCGCCAGTGGGAAATGGATCCTGATCATGAGGAAAAGATGCGTGCTGTGCGTGCTCGTCTCGAAGCAGAGTCTTACTCGGAGGCGGTTGTCCAGTACAGTGCAATCCGAACTCAGATCGGTCCACCAGATGCAATCCAGCATCCCTACGACATGGAGAACATTGATGCGGGTATCGATGGGGACATCGACGCGTTCAATCGTGCGCGTTCTCTCCCTGTTCCGGGTTCAATCCTCGATATACCTCTTGTAAAGGGTCCGGAGCCCACGGCTCCCTCTGTCTATTCAGATGGTGCTTCGGCTATCGCTCGCAAGACTGGGAAGCCCGTCTCGCGACGTCAGAGAGAAAAAGCCAAGGGCCCTGAGGTCCCACAGCGTGCACGGTCGCTGTCTGTTGATACCACAGTCTCAAGTCTCTCGTCACTTTCGAATTCTGCTTACTCGGTCCGATTCAATGATTGGTCTGGCGGCCACGAAGCACGCCAAATGCCGAATTCTATGTATGTGATTTCTTGGTGTGGCTCGGCTAGTTCTATGCTAATATGACACCTTACAGTGAACCCCCCGAGAACAGCGACGACTGCCACCAATGTGGAAAAGGTGGCGATTTGCTCTGCTGCGACACATGCATCAACTCATACCATTTCGAATGCTTGGATCCTCCCTTGGATCCCAAGAATCCTCCGCAGGGAGAGTGGCATTGCCCCAAGTGCTCCATTCGCAACAGCTTCTCGACCTTGATTGCACACTCCAAACACTACAAGAAGACAGAGTTCCAACCTCCTCAGGATATCAAGGAGCATTTCCATGGAGTGGATGAAGGAATTGTGTTTGATGGCGACTATGCCCGGAATTTAAAGCATCAACGCTACTACAAGGCCGCGCCCCACCTGCCGCGGCTGACTAAAGCACCGAAGCAAGACGGCCCTACCATTTACGCGAATCCCATGCTTCTCCGAGAATACGACAACAAGGGAGACTGCATCCGTTGCTCCAAGTGTGGTTTTACATCCCAAGGTATACATCCCATTATTACTTGCGACTACTGTCCTTGCCGCTTCCATCTGGATTGTCTTGATCCTCCCCGCGCACATCCCCCTAACCCCAAGGTCGGGTGGATGTGTCCTAACCATGTCACTCCTGACGATATGATTGCCACCAAGGAGATTAATGGCAGCAACGAGCGTACGCGCCGTGTTCGCCGAACCAAGAACATGGCGTACATTGATTGTGACATCATGCTTCCTGACGACCCAAATCAGAGTTTGTTTGATGAAGACTGGAGAGACAAAAGGGCCCGTTTCCTCGGAGGCGATGTCGTTTTGAACTTCATCACTGCTGTCAAGGAAGATCATCACGAACGTGAAAAGGAGTATGCCCGAATTGTCGAGCGAAAGTGCTTGGAGTTGACCAAGCAACTCACCAGCGATTACCTCAACCGCGCTGAAAACGCTGGGATCACCAACAACATCGCACAGAACGGTCTTCCCGCGGAGTTCACCCAGAATGTTTCTCACGCTGTTAACAACATGATTGCTGGCGCTCCTGTTTCCACTGAAGAATTCGACGCTGCCACTACTCTCCTCAGCATGGCTACAAGCCAGCCTCCTGCTGTCGGCGAAGGTCACATCGCCGAAGCTGCCGGGCCTACCTCGCCCGTTGCTCAGAAGCCTCTGTCTCGCATTGACGAGGAGTCTACCTTGGGCTCTTCTCATGCTCCCACCTCTCCTCCCCTCGGCACCTCTCACCCTCCCAACGCATCTTCGGATGCCGAGTCCCACCATTCGGACTCCGAGCTTCTCCCCCGGATCCCTGTGTTCAATCGGAACAAGCGATCTCGCGCTGATGACCATGGATCAGCCGGAGAGCGGGCGCAAAAGCGCCAATACACCAAGTCCAAGTGAGCGAGCCTCCCGGCTCTAGTTTAATTCAATGCGCGCATCAAAGGACCCGGCGTTTTGAATTGTCATGGATTTTTTTTTTTTCCATTTTCCCGGTCGCCGAAAAGGCGATCGTCAATTTTCTCGAATCTGTTTCTCCGAGCTGCCTGGCCACGTTTCTCTTTTTTTTCTTTCAATGTTGTTTTTATCTTGCTTGGCTTTTTTTTTTTTAAAAAAAAGAATTTGCGTGGCCG